ATTGACTGTTCAAATGCGGAGTTTTGCGCATTGTGTGTGTGTGTGCGCGCGAGAGAGAGAGAGTCACATCACAGTAGAGTCAGCTGTCTTAACCGCGGTTTGTGTACTGCATCATTACTGTGTCTGTTGCCCTTTCGGGCTTGAACTGATGGTAAAACGAATGACATTATTTACTGTCTTTACATTTATTTTGAAAGATGAAGCTCGCGATTATGGTAAGGGGCGTTACATTTCCAACGAGTGCTTGCGGTGTTCGGGCCAATCACAATGCACTGGGTCAGCTGGCCAATCAGAGCAGAGCAGACTGCGCTTGTTGGAAGGAGGGACTTTGTAGAAAACGAAGCGTTTGAGAGAGGCAGGGCATAGAGGACTTACATTAATGTACAGTATTTGAAAAATAATGTGTTTTTTGAACATTAAAGTATGTCAACATATTCTGTTACACCAAATACACAAAATAATGATCTTTAAAAAAGCATCATTTGACCCCTTTAAGACTTTCTGTTCTGTTTTAAAACCTTTTAAGGCCTTATTTTGTGAAATGGTGAATGGTGAAGACCTGCCGAAACACTGTTTGTTAAGAAATTAAAGAAAAAACAATCAATGCATTTTGAAAACAGTGAAATTCGAATTGTTTGTGAGTACAGATGCTTCCAATTTATTGAGAACAGTAAAACTTTATGTCTGTTACTCAAAGCTATGTTTCCTGAGCACAATGAAATCAATCAGCAAACATGACAAGGAAACAAATTACTGAAAGTGGTGGGGGGGATCAGGATTCATTTGCAGTTATTGCAGACTGGAGTTAAACCATAAGATTTACAGTAGACTTAAAAACGGAAAAATTTGCAATCATAACAGATTCCTAAAGATATAACTTAAATTAAAGAAACACTTTAAAAAAAGAAAACGTCACAGAACTTTTAATATTAAAGGCACAATATGTACGATTTTTTTATTAAAATATCCAAAAATCACTAGAACAGTGTTATATATTTTGCTGACTTGTGTACTTACATTATCCCAAATGTTTCGAAGAATGTTTAAATCCAGAGAAATAAGCAATTTTAACTAGTGACACGGATCGTGTCTATAGTTTGGCCTGCCAATGACGTCATAACCCCTCGATTTCCGGTTTTGTTTTGTAGAAAACATGGAAACACCAAAGACGCTTTTAATATGTTGTGCGTTTTAATAGACCGGTGACGACCGCACAGAGTAGCATTATAACAGAACTTTCAAATGTATCTAATATGATAAAACAGTGCTGCTTTACCCACATACACACGACCGGAAGGAGCAGAAGCGCTCGACTGTGGCATAATAAAAGCTCCGCTGCTTTACCCCACATACACACGACCGGAAGGAGCGGAAGCGCTCGACTGTGGCATAATAAAAGCTCCACTGCTTTACCCCACATACGCACGACCGGAAGCAGCGGAAGCGCTCGACTGGGGCATAGTAAAAGCTTCGCTGCTTTCGAGCCGTGTGTCGCGCTCGTTCAGCGCCTCGTTTCGCTTCGACGGCTTTCAGCCTCACCCTGCTTCATTCTACTACGTTAATAAATCATAAGCTCATCCATGAACATGATATCTGCCGAGTCCAGTCGGATTGCGTCGGCTGTGGGGATGAAGAACACAACTCCCATGATTCCACACTCAGTGACTGCGTCATCAAACTACGCCTTTGTCTATTTGTTTATTTTGAATATGCGCCCTCTAGCGGCGAAAATTACATATTGTGCCTTTAACTAGTGAACCATACATGATCATAATCCTGAAAATCTGGAGGGTCTAAATTGTTTATATAATTCAGCATTAAGAAACAATCAACAGAAATCAGCAGATTTTCATTTAACCCCACTAGACCAGACTATCGCCATCCTAATTCTATAACCGTCTCTAGCCACCCCATGCCATGCAGTTATGCACTGCCATTGATCTAAATGACCTTCTACACCAGCTAGATTCATATGTGCTGCTAGCATACAGTAGCGAAATATTAGTGCACTCCAGCAAGACTCTATGATCGTGATCTTGCCGGTGTCTATGGTTTAGTACTATGATTTCAACTCTACACTCATAGTCACCTTTTGATTCCAAACCTCGTCCCAACCTGTGCACCAAAAATACCAAACAGACACAAAAACATGATATAAAATGTCAGTCTCACAATGAAACAGTGTCACTCGTGCACCACCATCATTTAACCTCATTTTTCACAGGATTCTGTAAAGCGCTGGTTATCTTTACAGTCATTTAAAGTGATTTTTAATGTGAAATCCTCTGGGGTTTTTTTCTTTTTGATGGACTATAAGTAGGTTAACATTACTGTCAATTTATCTAGTAGTTACATTTTCTTCACACTACTGTTGAAAAGTTTGGGGTTAGTAGGATTTTTTTACTTTTATATATGTCTATATGCTCACCACAGCTAGATTTATCTGATCACAAATAAAATAAAAGAATAAAATAAAAACAGTAATATTGTTAAAAAATTATTACTATGTAAAGTAACTGTTTTTTATTTGAATATATTTTCAAATGTAATTTATTCCTTTGATGCAAAGCTGAATTTTCAGCATCATTCCTCCAGTCTTCAGTGTCACATGATCTTCAGAAATCATTCTAATATGCTGATTTGCTGCTCAAGAAACATTTCTGATTATAAATGCTGACAACAGTTTATGCTGCATCTATTTTTTGTGGAAAGCATGATACATTTTCTTTTTAGAATTCTTTGACGAATACAAAGGTAAAAGCACATTATATTTGACTGTGCCAGATAACTACAGTACAACTAGATTTCAATATTATCTGAGCAAAACAGTGACTTTTGGAATAATCCTCTGTGATGCAAGGATGTTGTGGATGGTTGCCAAGGCGTTGCTATGCAGTAAATAAGGCGTTCTGTGTGTTATTTTAGTGTAATGTCCGATAGTTTAGATAGTTAAATCTAAAAGGCTCTTCTTAAAAGGCTGTATAATTTGAAGAATCATTTAAAATGGTGAAATTTAATAGTAAAAGTTTCATTCCTATGGTTAGAGGTTTAAAAATATATGAACATACTGTTGGGTTAGATATTTGAACATTCTGTTTCCTTCAAAACATCACAACATCCGAGAATAACCAAAACTTTACGGAATCCAAAATGAGGTCAGATTTGACACTGCTACAGTTTTTGCTATCAGACCGAGAGAACAAACTGATAGAAACACAAGTGCGTGTGTGTGTTGTCAAAGGCTACTCTTTTTACAGGTTACTGGAACAGATCTGTTTCCAAACATTCAGCGAGACAATCCTCTTTTCAGGCCTGAGGGCAGGCAAAGCCTATCCCAACATCCAATCTCTGCTCCGAGCCGAGAGGGAGGAGATACGGGGAAAACA